TTTTGGATACATTTCATTTTATCTTAACTTGCAATCCTAACAAATATTAAATTTGCTTATATGTTTTCAAATTAATTATATTAATAAAAAATATTAATATACATTAAATCATTATCATTATATAAAAAAAGAATATTACTTTTATAAGTGTTATAAATAATAATGACATTATATGACAATAAATTTTTTAAAAAATTAATATTTGAGTATTATGATGAAACAAAATATGTAAAATTATTATTTTTTCTGTATTAAAAAATAAATATATGTGTTAAAATATTATTTATATTAATATAAACGGGTCAGTGGGCTAATATATTGTTAAAATAAAGTTTAAAAAAATGTTCTAAGACACGAAATTCCCGTGCATCGCACGAGATTCTCTCTAGTATATATAAAGAGAATAACCATTTACTAAAAATAGTAGGAAAAAAATTTGGGAACATTTAATGCATACCTTATTTGAAAACTTTTTAACTATATGCATTAATTGTTTGGATATACACATTTTCAAACCAGATATGATCAAAAATGTTATTTTCTTGAATAATTTATTAACTTCAATAATTTTATTGATATCAATTATAATTGATTTTTCGCGATTCATGTCAACATAAAATAAATTTTAAATTTTAACCATATTATTAATTTTTTTCCACAAATATTGACTTTCATCATAAAATATTTATAAACAATCGTAACATGTTAAATAATTTTCTCCTTCCAACTAATTAGGTGAAATCAAGTCGATGAAGTATTTGTCGATAATGATTTTTAACCTTTATATAATTAAATAAGAAAATAATTTTTTTAATCTAACGTAATTTACTATTTCAAAGATAATGATCACATCATTAAATAATTTTACTAATGGTTAGATAATAAAATTAAAATATATTAATTATTCTTTAAACTTTCAATATGTGATTTGTTTGTATATTAATGTCAACCATGATAATTTTTTTTTTTTTTTTGTTTTGATTTGTTCAGTGATGATTTTATTATAAAATATATTTATTGCATAGTATGTTAAATACACTATAAAGCCTTAGGATGAAAATTATAAAAATCTCTTGATTATTAAGGGATTTATTCTTTGCCAATTGATAAATCATGTTTTTAATAATTTTGAGAAAATTGAATTCTAAAAAACATATGTGTGCATTCTGTAAACATTTATACACAAAATTTTATTTTAAATTTCATTACATAAATTAATAGAAGAAGAGTACTTCTATAACTTTTATAAATATTAATAATGACATTATATGACAACAAATTTTATAATAAATAAATTGAGTATTATATGTTTCAAGCTTTAGATTTGTTAAGAATTAAATAAATTAACAATTTTATTAATTGATGAACGTAATTAGATAGTTTAAATAAAGTCAGTTAAGTGTTTTAATACTTGATAAAGATTTCAACATATTAAGAAACTGAAAGAGAAAAAAAGGAGAAAAAAAGTAAAAGAAAATGGTAAGATGAAATAAATATTACAAAATTATAAAAAGAATTTAGGAAGTATGAAAAAGTGAAGACTCACTGTTTTTAGTATTTTTGAGCATTTGGTAACCGAGTTATCCGACTCGGGTCGTTCTCAAAGGAGGCTATTAAGAGCTTCGTTCACTATCTAGTCGTCAAAGTCACACAACTGAAAATGGGGTCCTACACATTCTACTCGCTTTTTGGGGTTTGATTGCACGAAATTAAACTATGATCCTACGAGCAAATAATGAAAATGCACGAATCGAAAGAAAGATAAAAATTTGGTTACATGGAGTCTCCACAACTTAACTAAAATAAAAATAACGAAAACAAAACATGCGAGCCTAGTGATCCTAGGTATCCTAACACGAGCCTTCTACACTAGATCATCCCGCTTCGAGCAAGTCGGGACCTCTATACTAGATAAGCACGTATCGAACCCTAACCCACTTGGACAAGCAATGAAAATAAGGCAAAGTGTAAAAAAAACGATCCTAAACACATCATTCCAATAAATTCACAATCCGAAATAATAAGCCCTAAGCTAGGTACCTATTTTTCTATGACAAAATTAAACGAAAATAATGCATAGAGAACGAAATTTAGATAAAAATAAGATAGCCGGAAAGTTACCGGAAAAGTCGCCGAAAACTCACCGGAAAATGTCAAGTGTGCACCTTCAAACCAAGAGCAAATAATAGAGAGAAGGAGGAGAGAATTTTTCCCAACTGAAGAGTTGGGAAATGAGGGGGGTTGTCTCAAAAACACACACACACACACACTACCTATTTATACATACCACACACTAAAAATACACACATTTAATGAAAATTTGAAGTTCGCAGGTCTCGAAACGGGGTTGGCAGCGAGTTTGGGCTTGGAGTAGTGCAGAAACAGGCATTCGCAGGTCGCCAACGAAAACTCGCTGCGAGTGGTAAGGGAGAAGTGCTGAAGGCGTGCGGTTCGCGGGTCGCCAACAGAAACTCGCTACGAGTGCTGCCCTGAGTGCTTGCGCTTCGCAGGCCGCCAAATCCTTTTCGCAGCGAGTCGGGGCAAGGTCTGTTAAGAGTAGCATTTCGTGGGGCGCGAGTTCCTTTTCGCAGCGAGTGTCGGGCTGCTTTCGGGCTCGACTCGCGTCTCGAAAATGGCTTGGAATGGCTTGTAAGTGGTCCGGATGGCTCGGAAGTATCTCAGACAATAGCTCGTCTTCCCGATCGTGCAAAGAGGACCTAATCACACCAAAAGTACGCAAGAAAACACGGCAAATAGAAAAGCACAAAGCAAAAACGAAAACAAATAAAACACAACAAAAAGGACCGGTCGACACCAAAACGAACCTAAAACGACTCAACTAAGGCACGAAAAATTCACAAAAATAAGCCCAAAAATATAACAAACACTCACATGTTATATATTTAGAAATTTGTAATTAACGATATTGAAATCAAAGTTGAAACACTTTTTAAAAAATGAAACAATATTTTTTTAATAAAAAAAGATATTGAATCAATTTAAAAACATTATCCACAATAAGGAAAAAAAAGACTCTATGTTCTCAAAAGATCCGGATGGAATAAAAAAAGTATTACTTTAACTAATTTCTAATTAACCCCTATGAAGAAGGAAATAAAATATATACTTATTTTCATTTAAAATTTTAAAATTTAAATTATTTTAGAAATTTCAGATCTAGTAAATTTGAAATGTTTAAATGGGATTTTACCTACTATTTTAGGTAAATCCTCAACTAAATTTAGTAAATTTTTGGGCTCGCGCGCACTTACTGGGGCGCTCGTTGTTGTTGGGCTTCTCGCCTGGATACGGGCCGCTCATGATGGGAAGACGTGGGCTTCTCCTATCACGGGCCTGAGCGCGGACTAGACGCACGAGTTGCGGGCCTGGCGGCGCTGGGTGGATTCCGGTGGGTCGTCGGAGGTTGCCTGAGCCCTGGCCGGTGCGCTGGTGACATCGCCTCGTGTGGTTATCGCAGGTGATCATCCTCGCCAGGTTTGGTGGTCATCGGACAACTTTCGGACACCTAAAAAATTATATATATATATATATATATATATATTTAACACTTCCTTAATGTCTCTACTATAGCCCTTTAAATATACCAAGTCTCAAGCCTTCAAACACAAATACTGAGGTTTAAATTATGTACATGGTCAATATAAAATAATATCCTCCCGTGGGTCCGTTCAATACATCTAGGATGTACTAATGTAATCCATTAGTCTAAGATCAACTAATTCCAAGATTCACACTACAGTCTTTCATGACAGGTATTTCAATTTTCGTCTAGACCGTGAACATTTAATTATATTTTACAAGGAACCGATAATGTGATCTTACTGTTATAGACCTGGAACCATATTATCTACATTATAAAATAAAGGAACAATGTCCGCATATATAAATTAACTACGAACATTCACTTGACTAAAACACGCATCTCATTCAAAATGGAATTGTTAGTAACATAAAATCGAGCTTTTACACTATACTCCAATAGTTTGCCCTTCTCAAAAAATACAATAAAAAGTGAGTTCGCGAGGGGTATACGGATTATACTCCACTTGTCTCGATTCACTTAGCGGATTGAGATAATGAGTACGGAAAATCAGTCTTGATGACTTGGGGAAATCCCTCGAGGATAAACCTAGATAATAATCATTCGGAATTTTCGTTCGGAAAAAGTGGCTCACAGCAAAAAACAAAAAATAAAAAAATAAAAAAATATAAGGAAAATGAATAAAGAGAGAATAACTTATGTCTTTCCCTTTCCCTTTGCTCTTATTCATTGGTGTATTGAGTGGTTTTGTAGTTCTGATTTTGTTGAAAATCTGAGTATTGAGGACCGGGAGTATGCATATGTCGACATGGGATTTTGTAAAAGTTGATTTGTGATGAATCCACCATGTGTGGAAGAACTTTGGTATGACTCTAGATTCTAGGGGAACATATTTTCAAATTGAATTTTGACTATAAAAATTGTAGAGTCCGAGTCGAATATTAGAGGACATCTCGATTATTTATTTTATTATGCAGTTAGTTGCATTTTATTTAAAGATTCTTTGTTCGATAAGTTCTTTGGATTTATTTAGATGTTATTGTCTATTTAATCCGTTAAGGGAAATAATCTATTTAAACATTAGTGTTTATTTAAATTATCGAATTTTCAAACATCCAATAGCTATTCGATTTCATTCGTTTTATTTATTTTAGTAGCCGTCAAATCCAATTTCGGTTTCTACTATTTTTTTAAAGTTGTCTCTCGATTTCTTAGAAGTATTTTGAGACCAATCATAGAATTATTTCAGGCCTTATAAGCTTTATTATATTCGGCCCAATGTTAAGGAATTTTCGGCCCAAATTAAAAATTATTTTCAGCCCAATAGTTATGTGCATCTGGGCCCACTTAAAAATCCCTTCTCCCTTTGATTTTATGTTCACGGCATTTGCTCGAGAAGACCCAATTTTACAGAGTCGATTTCTCTCGCCACAAACCCTCAGCTCCCATAACCTATCCTCTCGTCTCCAACATCAGATTTTCCTCCAAGTCGAGCAATCGAGCTCCGTTTGAATGTCAGATTACTGCGGGAAATTCCAAGCCTTCGTCAAACCCTTATTCCTCGCCGCAGATGGACCGTGCACAGCAGCTGTGCGACCCTTTCCCGCCAGCAGCAGTCCCGTCGATTCTCCATCGTGAAATTTCCCCAAAAATCACCAGCGCCCCGTCCCTCATCTTCCTCCGTCGGCGAGTAAGCAGCAGCCGACCTGTCGAGTAGAGCCCCACACCGGTCAGAGAAGTTCCGCCCCTCTTCATCATCTCCGGCGAGCAACACCTTCGCCGGCGTTTTATCTCAGCCCCTGTACGAGCAGCACGCGTGACTCTTTCCGGCGAGAAGTAGTTCCGTCGAGCCTCCTCAGTCCACCCGGAGTTTTATTTCCGGCGAGCAAAATCCCAGCAGCCGCCGGCAGTCCTTCTCAGCCGCACGACTCCTTCCAGCGAGCAACAGCGGGTCCCAGCCATTATCCCCGTCGACGATCGAGCGACAAGCCCGTTAGTCGCTGTGAGCAACCAACGACCCACGAGCAGCAGGTCCTGTAGCGACAGGCCCCCTGAAGCCGCGAGTTTTTCTTCCCAGCAAGAAGAGGGCTAAGGTCGAGCCCGTTTGAATTTTTCAAACAGGAGCAGCTGGCGGCACCTAAAACCGAGGTTATTGCCGATTAGGGGAGCAGCGGCATCCCGCCGGAATTAGCAGAACATCGCGCGACCTGCCCCCTTGCCGTGAGACGAGCAGCCGGGTGCTAGTAGCAAGAAAGCCGAGACCGAGTTCTTCGTTCGAGGCTATTGTTCTTCGATTCCAGATTTTCGTTTCTCGTTCATTCCAAGAAGAAGGTATATGGCTTAACCTTCTTTAATATTTAGAGTTATAAATTGAAGGATTAAATTAGTGCCTTAAGGTATATGCAACTATGCAAGCTATTAAGTTTGAGAGGTGTTCATGAGTTATGAAATATTTGAGTCTTTGTTAATGATGTTGAACTCTCGTTTCGTTGATTGATTAGCCTCTGAAAATAAATAATTTTGAGGTTTAAAGGGGTCGGGATAATTGGTTGCAAGTTATTTGATAAGTCGGGATGATAATTGCTATGTTCGGAGCCTTGCCGGGCTCCGAAAATATGAGATGAATTGATATTTGAGTGCAGCGATGTTGCTGCGTGTTCTGAGTTATAGCAGCCATTAAAATGCTCATTTTCATGGTAATATTGAGTTTTTATAGTGCCTTGAAGTTGTTGAGAAAATCGGGTCTTAATCGCCTAAAACGAGCCTCGTCTACATATATATATATAATAAGAATTACCATTTACCAAAAATAGTAGCAAAAAAATAGGTCAGAATTTAATGCAACCTATAAATAGTAAGTTTTATTATTTTTTCTATTTTTTTCTTAAAAAAAATCATACAACATTAAATGCTACCTTAAATTTTGGACTTTAGTTCATTTTATTATTTAAAAAATTCGGCTAAGATTTATTAAGTGTGTATGTTTTTATTTTTATTATTTTTTTTAGAAACAATGAACAACATTAAAATCTCGGTCTCTATATTTATAAAATTTCAATTCAAAATATAACAAAAATATTAGAATCTCGGTTTTTATATTTGTGCCTTTAAAAAAATATTGAACGCTAAAAATATTCTTTAAATTGCATATAATCAATCAATTAATCTTAATTTATTGAAAATTACTATGTTTATTTTTTTATTAATATGCATAAAGTAAAAATAATTAATTCATCTTTAGATATATAATTTATAATCTTAATATATTATCATTTTGTGTAGACATTTATTATATGAAATATAAAATATTTTTATTTCATTAAATTAAATGTATTTAAAGAAAATAAGAAATTTTCTTCATATCAATCGGGTGATTGAATTAGGGTATTCCCCAGGTTGATTGAATTAGTTTTAGGTGATATTTAACATAGTTATAAAACTTGACACAACTTGGTTGGTCCCAAGTGACTAAGTTAAGTTATGTATCAGTTCGACCACACCAAATCGATTATTGAACCTAATATAAATTTGATATTGAAAATATTTTATTACGTGAATGTGATGTAGTCCAAACTTCAAATAATTGTATTAACAATACTTTTATGACAACATGTTTAATGATTTATGAATATTTATGTATCGTTTTATTAATATTTATGTAAATTAAATAATATTTTATTATATTATTTATTAATGTAGAGTAAATATAAGGTTTTCAGAACTGGACCGTCATCGAAACGATCAAGCTATTTTATTAAATCATTTGTGGTTTGTTCAGATTTTAATTTATAAACATTTTAATATATATATAACTTTTTGTAATAAATTTAAATAAAATGTGTTACTTAAATATCTAAACAATTCATAAATTCATTGATAAATAATTTATAAATCACTATTTTATTTAAATATGTAATTTTATTTAAAATAATTTTAAATATAACAAAATTTATTTAGAAAATCGTATCGATCCTACCAGTCCAACCGACTGGTGTTGACGGATTGAAGAGCAAATATTTTATTTAAGCGAACTAGATTGGTTATAAACAGGTTCTCGGTCCATCCGGTCGGACTGTATCCAACCCGGTTTAATTTAAAAGCAATGGATGAATCATGATTAGTGTTATTTATATATTTAGTTTATAATACAATCCTAATATTGTTTTCCCGTGCATCGCACGGGGCACGCACTAGTTTGTTTTAAAAAACGAGTTGTTTAAATGCTGCGATTTTTCTGAATTTTGTTGAAGTTTAGACCTCTGTTATGAGGTGATTAATACTCGGTATAATGAGGTTTAAGTGCCATGAGATGTGCTTAAAAATGAGAATTTTTATATTTGGGTTCATTTGCCTTTAAAATTATTTGGAAAAATGAGAATTTTGATAAATTTCTCTAGCCTTTATTTCATGTTAAAAACCGGATATTTGGACCCCTAAAAATGTATTTTTATATTGGTCGAAAGACGTGTCGGTTGGGTCGAGGAAGTTGTCGGCGGATGCCCCAGTGACCTACAGAGCCTACGCAATGCAATGCAGCCAGTGACCGTGCCAATAGGCACGTGAGCTACCCATCGGCGCAACTGAGTGCGAGGCTGAGACCAGCCACAGCACCAGAACACAGCGGCCGCGCGTCTGGTGCCAACTGCGGTCTGACCCGAGCCACCGACTAGCTACCGGACCGCACTGGTCGAGCCAGAACCGGGCTAGAGGCAAGACCGAACACAGTTTTATTTTATTTTGAGCAGTTTTGAGCATCCCGAGTTATGTTTAGCATTTTTATAAATTATCCCGTACCTATAAATGATTTTTCGAGACGAGGCTAGTTACAGATTTTTAAAGAATAAATTCCGAGAATTTTTATAGAGTCCGAGTCGAGAGTTCCAACATCTAAATCAGAACAGAATTTTATAAGTCATGTTCAATTGGTAAATTTAGTTTTCCGAGTCAGAGTTAGTTATTGATTCGAGTATCGCTTAATTTTATGTAGATTCCGAGGAGTCGAGCCCTCGAGTTTCCACATAAGCGACAACTCTTTCTCATAGCTCTAGAGCCAGAACATCTAGGTGGGGAAGTCTATCTAGTACATCCTTCTAATTAAACATTGTGGTATTTTTATTTGCCGTTATATTTGCATGAATTATGTGTTTCCTTTCT